TTCCTCTATTCGCTCCGACGAAGGGCTAACGCTCGAAACGTCAGCTTTTGTAATCATTACGGTGGCCAATTTACCATTTCAACCTTGTTGATATATCCAAATTATTTCGTTACTCCCACCGACGCAGCCCCAAACAGTTTCTTTCGAAACTATCAGCCTTTATTCATTCAAATTACTCAGACACATTTTCTCGAAAAATTATTAGAATCTCAAAACGCGCGCGAGTTATTCAGAAGGAGCACAGGCTTGCCATCTTAAATATCTATGGTTTCGGTTTTCTATGGTTTTGGTTTCCTGTGGCGTTTATATAGCCGTTATCAATGTAGTTCAAATACATTGCCTCTAGAATCTGTTCCTAGCAGTCAGTCTTAAAAAAAAAAAATCAGCTCCGAATAAAGATTAATAGTTCAGTACTTGTTTGGAAGTGTTTTTTCTGCCAGAAAGCCTCAAAATCGCTCGTTTGAGGCTTTCAAAGTTCGGAGGTTAATTCGGCTCGCTCACCCTAGTGAAGAAATGCGACCTTTATTCTCGTAAAAAAGTTATCAACTACCAAGGCGTCATGATCTCACTTTCGGTTGAATATTTACCTATTAAAATTCGTGGTAGTTTTGAAGTGTGCGAGTTTTGTTTGGAAGTTGGAGTGATTTATGGGCCACAGTAGGCCACCGTATCAAGATAATTCTTAATCAGCTGCGGCATTTTTTTGAGCTTGTTTTATTTCATTCAATAACATGGAGTTTTAACAAGAGAAAAATAAATAAATTCTGCAGTAATGCAGAAAACTCTTTGGGCACTAATGTTTGTTAAGCCAGCGTTTTGCATATATCAGCCACCCTTTAAATTTACTTTCTCCGAGGGCAATTATTGGTAAAGGAATATCATATTTCTGTGGTAGTTTTAGCTTTAAAGACGTTGAAAACTAGTACAGGCCCTCTTGACACATTGAACCAATTCATCTTACTTGAAATGCTGTTTGAAACTATTTGTCTAATCGCCATTTTCAAATGCTAGGAGTCGAACCGCACTGAGGACAACTGTTTGTTTTGGCTAAAAAATCTGTCAACACATAACTTTTATCTGTACAGATGGTTTGTCTAGTAAGGAAAAATATTTTGACATGAGAATATTTATCAAAGGAGCCACTTGGAGGTTTAAAACTTTTTTTCCGTGTTGCTTTCTTTTGTTTTCGTCACAGACACCTGTGATCTAAGACAAGTTCCGGCCTTCCTCGGTTTTCACGTGACGTCATCAAAATTAAAAAGAAGGAACTATCAATTCCTTTGAGATTTTAGCTTAGTTAATAATAAGAACAGCTGAAGAATTATCTTTTTACAAATTTTAGTTTTATGGGGTTTTCAGTCTTGTTATAAAGCAAGGTTGAATTTCTAAGCTTTTGCGTGACACGATATTGAAATGGCGGCCGAGAATGCTGTCACGTAGGTTAGGAAAATTACTTAAAAATGTACAGTTTTATTATCCAACTACGCCTAGACGAGTACAAATAACGCCATAGACGAGTACAAATATCACGCGGTATTTGTACTCGTCTAGGTGTAGAGTACGGGTTAAACAGGTTTCTCGCATCGCGCAAGCGAAGAATTGGATTGTAGTTACGAAAAAAAAAATGGCTGACNTGTTAAAATAAAATGTTAATAAATGTTACTAAAATGTTATGATTTTAGAAATTTCTCTGTTGTTCAGCTCTGAAATTATACTAAAACAATTATTCGCCTAAGGTTCGGTGAATATTGTCGAATAATCCCCTCGACTTTGTCTCGGGGATTATTCGACGATATTCACCTCGCCTTCGACGAATAATTGTTAAATATATATTGACCTTTAGACCCCAAATCACACGCAATCTGAACCGTCCTTGCGTTAGCATTCATGTAGATGTTAATGAGCCTTCAGAAGACGACTACATGTTTTTTATGGCAAAACTCGATGACATATGTTTTTTGTTAACTTTCGGTCGCTTCAAACTCGGCGTCTCCCTACAAAGCCTTATAAACTTGAGCAAAACACTTGTTCGAACATCTCCCGCACGAAACATCGCGATCGCACAGATCTGAATCTTTGCGAGACTATTTGAATTTTGATCTCCTTTTATCTCTTTGATTCTTGACTTTGATTTTTGCAGAGAGTGCAAAACCGATACCTCGTAAGAGAAAAGTGCGGACAAAATACAAATGCTCTGATTAAATTAATTTCATTACGTAACTAGGTAAAGTTCGAGACTATATCTAGAGCTAAGGGTTCGAGATCTGGCTGAGTTCATTATCTATTCAACCTTCCTGACTTGAACGCAGTAAAAAAAATTACACTCGATCTACAAAATGATTATTAGTAGCGCGATCGCGAGCGCATAAGTCACATAAAAGCTGTGCATCTGACAAACGCAGTCTCCATGAGTGGAATTTAAAACAAAGAACTGCTTAGTAGTAATGGATATCGTAAATAATATCAGCTATTCGTTGACTTTGCTGCGATTACATGCAAAGGTGAAATACCTCGACCACCACCTTGTTTTTGTTAGCTCTGAAACGTTGAAATGAATTCCTTTAAATCTGACTTTAAGGTTTACCAACCTGCAATCTAAATATTGATGATCCTGATAAGAGTGTGTGGACTACAATGTGGACTAATCTGATTTGCGTGACAAGTATGCCCCGGAGCGTTCACACTCGGTTACCCAACGAATTCATTCTCCGTGTTTTAAATACAGTTTCAGAAAACGAAATTTGTATCAAGCAAGATTTGTCTACATAGGTTACCTATTACTTACCCGGGTGTTGGAAATAGGAATGGAGATGATATATATTGGAAGCTATACACGGCTGAAAATTCTCTTAACGACCTCATATTTCAAGTTAATAACTCTTCCAAAATAGTCTATTGAAATATGCAAAATACTTAGAACAAGCTGCCCTTACTAAATTTGATCAAAAAATACATTGACGATCTGGAAAGAACTATTTTTATTTTTAATCCTAACACGGTCAATTCTTTCAAGGTGATGTACCGATAAACAACGTCTACTTTTCATCCTCCGCACTGAAATCATAATTGGGAAACTTATTCGAAGAGCACGTAGGTCGATGAGTAATGGTAAAGGGTGGTTGGGGTCACCCTCTCCTCTCCAACTTTTCTGTTTTACTCATTTTGAGTAACAGTCTTTGAAGGCTATTTTCGTTGTAAATCTACTTTAGGTGCAATAATTTTTTTCTCAAGCATCTCAGCGGTCCGAAATCCTAATTCCTCGAATTTAATTGGCTAATTCTACGCGCTTCAGCGGTCCCTCTTTTCCCATCCGAACCCCGGGTACTGACTGCTCTGAGTTTTCAATCGCTTCACGAGAGAGACTAAAGAGATACTTATTCAAAAAAGATATTTATTCGCAATTATGGATTCAGACAACGAAAGCTATCAAAGCGAAAGCGAGTTTTATCATCCTGGGGAGAAAAACATAATTGAAGGTGAAGAAAACTATCACGAAACCCAAACTGTACTGCCCAAGAAATGTAAATATTTCAAGAGCCAGTTTAATAAACCCCAACGGACTGACACTACCACCAAGAACAAAATGCTAAAACAGAAACTGAAGGAATCGAAAGAGTAAAAGCCTTATTAAATCCCCTTGTGTCTATCCCATTTGACTTCAGTTTTCGGTAAAAGAAATACAAAACTTACACACGCTTCTGCAGCAAACAAAGTTTCACTGAATTTACACCCAGTGACTTTCCATACCATTCAAAACTCAACGTAGGTCAATCTTGTTAAAGTAATCGTTATCCAAGTAAACAATACGGAAAAGATCGTCGTGATAGTCTAGACCAGTTCTTACAAAAGTTTCATGCATGCGCACG